GCGAATTATAGGGGTGTTCATCATACAGTTGGAAATAATCTAGCCAGTATGGCACACTAAGTTATCTATTAGCCACACGGGACATTCTCAGAAGAGGGCTTCGATACTAGGGTTAAATATATGAGGAATTGCCAATGCGCTTTGAAGGATATAAGTACTTTCCAACCTTACATCAAATGAGCTGAAGCATTCATGATTGGGTGCCGTAAGTGCATGGTCACGATACATATGCACTAAACATTAGAAAATGCGAGAAGTATAGTCGAGATTATTCCTTGCCTGCCAATCGTAAGCTTTCCCGAACCCACACCGATCAATAGAATTCATCCAAATTTCCTGGGTTGCTTACCACCCCCTCTGGGCTTGGAAAAGTCCCTTCACCTCCGTGGTCAGAGCCATCTATTTCAAATCATAATGATAGACCTTAATAAAAAGGGATGGAGGAATTTTACTCACAATGAACGACCTAGATGTCTATATGGCTCGAGAGTTAGTCTCGCTTGCTGTAGAAAGTAGTCGTTGCGAGACGTGCCGAAGAGATCTAGCATTTATGTTATTCTTATCAACCAGACTACATAGCTCTTATAGTTTTTAGATTAACAGTATCGAAACTCGAAGAACTAGCGACGTTTTATCGTTTGCTGGTTTCTGTCATGAAATCATGAGTCATCGTGCCTTACGGTTTTCGCCCGCATGGGAAGCACTTCGTGCCCTAAGTTCTTGGTAAATCTGACAGGTCTTAATAGTCTTGAGGGGTTTTACGTTGCTTAAACAGGAGTTAGAACATAACCTCCCTTCTTCCCTTCTCAGCACCTAGTGCTTGCTTATACGGACTTGAAGGCCAACAAAGTCATAGAGGCTTACAATTGGCAACCCTCTTTACTGGCCGAGTTGTTCTCCTACAGCTATACTCTCTTCTATTAATATCTCTCACAAACTTCATTTGGAAATAATTACATGACGATCACGAAACATCGTCTGACTAACCAAAGTTCTATTCTTTCCCTCAAAACATATACATATCGCAACTCCGCACCTTCTTTTTTGCAATAGCAATTACACCACCACGCACCCAGACGATATTTTGTGTTGAGAGTCCTTATTTCTTAGCCCGCTTTAGACCTGATTGCCTATGGGTAAGAAAACTCTAGCGATATATGAGCGTGATCTAGCTGCTTATATGCCCCTGGCTATTCTATCTACGGCCGAATAGGCACTCTTGCTTCCTGTCGGCCGTTTACGGAATGGTATGGGAGTGGTTTCCAACGCCCTCCCTCACTCGAGCACCCGCTCGTCTAGTCCTACCAACAGGGCCCTTCCAACAATGCTTCTATCTCTTCTCCTACCATCTCTTCCAGCTGTCCGGTTGATCGCTGATTTCTACCGGTCCCTCACTTACTTCCGCTCCCAGATACCCATATATATGCCGAGGTTATGCCCAGGGGCCGGCCTTGTTGATAACTGAAATTTATGTGTCTCCAGCTATATACCTTCGACTCGCCCAGTCACCGGGGCCATGCAGAGGCACCCATTGATTTTTTTTTTTTTTTTTGAACTCATTACTCGTATGCACAACCTGAAGGGTCGTATGACGAGCCACCCGGAAACCCGGGTGGATTCAAGGGACAGTCAAGTTAATCTGACGCCCTGCGCGAGCTATGTACAAAATTACAACGCGAACAGATAAAAAGGGACAGCAGCAAGAAACGAATGTCTTCTCCCTTATCGCCCAGCGAGGGGGCGGTAGAGGTGAGCGAAGTAAGCCTCTACCGCATCCCACTCCTTCTGCTCTCCTAATATTCCCGATGTACTTTTGGCGCTGCTGGTGGTGGTGGGGGCAGTCGAAGGTGATGTGAAAGCCGTCCTCCGAGGGGTGGTCGCAGTTGAGGCAAGCCGGGGAGTCGACCTTGCGGATGAAGTGTAGCCAGTAGTTCTGTGGGCCTCGGTTGGTGCGCAGCCAGGTGTAGGCCGACAGGGCGTGTCTGTGCACAGGCATCTGTTGGTGCCAAACCCGGGTTCCGAACGCATGTCCTTCCGCCTGGCTTTGGCTGCCGCTCTGATCCCCGCTGCTGTTGCCACCTGCTGACTCCCGGCGATGCGGCCTAATGCCGACTCGTAAGCCGCCCTCTTTTCTGCCTTTTCGTTGCCTGGAATGCCTATATGACTGTGGACCCATCCTATCGCCGTATCCAGGTGTGCCCGTTTATGCAGGAGGTTCTTCAGCTCGCGTTCGATGCCGGACCTGGGTGGAGTGCCCTTGCCGAGGTTGGATACTGCCTGTTTGCTTGCCATGGAGTCCGTTAGGATTAGGAGTCTGTCCGTCCTCGACGAGTGGAGGGCGAGGGCGATTCCCTTTTCTTCCCCGTCTGCTACCGTGGCTAGAGTCCCTAGGAACGAGCCCCGTTCTGACTCGTGTGTCACTGCCGCCGCTGCGACCATTGATGCTATTGCTGTTGTGCATATTGCCCCATAACATGCTGAGAGCAAAGGCTGTGCGGAGCTAGTGCTGCAATCGCTTGGCTGGAAGTTCCAGTCCTCATTCTTCCCATAAAACCTAGTGGGAAAGCTACACCGCGGTCGAGCGCCCCTAGTGGTGAATATCCAGTGCCATCTTGCAACGAAGCAGGATACAGCTGTGCTCCCTGTACACTGTAATACGTGGGATCCATAGAACGCTGACCGAGACTTTGTGTCATATCCTGTGGCAGCTGGGACTGACTCGATGGAATCTGTAGCACATTTCGTTGTGGGTTGAAGCTTGGGGTTAGGGATCGTTTCCGACGCTTTTCCAATTCAACATCAACTTTGAGTTGTTGAAGCACCCTGATAACATGTACATATTCACTGTACCAGAAGTCAAGGCTAGCCTCTTTGTCCGATAGATCTGGCACCTCAGCTCGCGCTCGAAGGGAAATACCTGGAGCCAAGGTATTTCCTTCTTCCTGCCACTTCTTTCGTGCCTTAGAGACTTTCTCCTCGTGACGCAAAGTCATACCCTTCCAGTACCCATTGTCCTTATTCTGGGAAGGTGCATCCACATAATCATAGTCGTTCTCGTGCAACGGATAATCCCTCCCGCGCATCGCACCCCTAAACCTCTTTCCCTTTTGGGGTTTTGGTTGCTCTCTCTCTTTTCTTTTCCCTAAGACGTTTGACGGAGCCCTCGAGGTTGACTGTGAACGGGCGAACGGGTTGTTGGCTGCAGCTTCTGACTCCAGCACCTGATCAGATTTTTGGACATTCCGGCCCCCAGTACTTTGAGTTCCAGTGTGCTCATCAGAAATTATACGTTCACTTCTGGCTTCTCTGGCAGGCACAGCAATAGCTCCGGTGGGTTGATAGTATTCACCAGTATAGGGCGAAGAACTGGGAGTGATATCTGCAAGTGGGACCGCATCATATTCATCGGTATGGGGCACCGGACCCCCCGCTGTCGAATTTGCCGCAGGTGGTTTTGCCATGACCTCATTATTTGGGGATTCAGAAGGAGAATCAGAACAAAATGAGAAGTATTTCCATTCGTCCGGATCTCCTAGAAGGTCAGACATGGAAATATTCAGATCCAAATCGGTGTTGGGTTCCTCAAGAGCAACCATGTTCATTGCTGAATTGCTTTAAGCAAATGTTAGACGTATATGTTGTTTCTATGCGGGCATTAGTACCATCTGAACACTTCCGAACACAAAGGCTACCAAGATGCTCAGGTTAAGAGATTTAAGGGATACCTGGGTGCACCGTCGGGAACAGCTTTCCAAGTTATTAAAAAATCGAGAGGTGACAGCTATCCAAAGTGGAGAATGCTATTGGAGCTTTTGAGGATTGGAGGATGAGGACTTGTTGAGAAATATTGATATTAAGGAAGGTGTACTGAGTGTAAAACTTGTTCCACAACTCCTCATAAATTTATATAAAATGTTCGATACTAAGTAGCTCTTCTCAACTTATAAAGTATTTCGGTAATGAGGGAGTTCCATGGCCAGCTGTCCTTTGAATAAGGATACTCAACTACTTACTCAAACTAGTACTCACACGTCAACATATTAAAACCTGGAAATGAGTATACATATATGATGCTTCAACAGCCTTACGTATTACCTATTAGCACTTGAAAAAAAAAAGGAACAAGAATTTAGTGTTCTTGATTTGACCTGGTGAGTCCAGGCATTCCGCGTGTAACCATTCTTAGTAGAGTTAAGACAAGGCGCAAACCTACTTCATTTGCTCATGAAAGTCGAAAACAAAGAGGGTTCTGGTATCTTAACTCTGTTCCTTCGTCAGCTGTCAAAATAAGGTTATAGGTAGTCGAGCAAAATCCAGAACCGTGGTCATGCCTTATGCGAGTATTGAATTAAAAATAAAAAAAAATCCAGAAGTCTCCGGACATTTGCGAAATCAGGGCAAACTGACCAAGTTGCAACCACTGTTACTCACTCCAAAGTGAAGTAATTAGTCTGATACTCTCACAATTAATCAATACTATTGAAGTTAGCATATCTCTCCCAATATGGGAGGAGTATTCATGGTGCAAACTGGTTCGGATTTCAGAATTAAAATTTGTGTGGTCTTGGCAGAATTTTTAAGGAGACGTGATTTTACATCTACTACCCTCACACTCTCTCTACGAGAGGCGGTGCCCACCAGACTACACCTCACTAGATGTTGTTCATGATCTTTGAAGAAAGGCTTCTCCTAGACAGGTATTTTGTAATTCAGAGTTGTGGATGCTAATCCAGGTCAGGAACCATTTATTTTCGTTATTCTAAAGAGCTCGCCTTTGGGATTTTTTGCAAGTAACTAGACACTAATGGCCATGAGCAGTTCAATAATTACTTATATGTATAGCATGGTAGTGCCGTGGGGCTCTTACCTTCTACTCTTGACCAAAAGTAATTGCAAAGCCATTCAAGAAATTAAAGAATTTGATGTGGAACTGTTTATTGCAATACGGAGTAGGAGTAAGATTATAGAGCATTAATAAGAGTATTTCGTATTACAACTTGTCCGCACTGGTGTAACGGCTAGCATACCGAGCTTTCATTCCCCTCACGAAGGGAAGCTCCTCGGAGACCGGGGTTCGACTCCCCGGTGCGGAATTAACTTTTAGCTCCTTAATGAGCTCGGACCTTTACATGCGTAGGGATTCAGAGAAGGCATGTTTGTATACTGCAAGCCTTCACAGCTTCAACCTAAGCTTGCAGCCCTGCGCCTCGGTGAAATTTTGAGCCACCTCACTACCCCTTCCATTCCGTTACCTGGTTCGGAATGTAAGTAGATCGGATCTCACTAATAATAACCGACACGAGGAGTGTATACTAGTACATACAATTTTGGGGAAGCTTGGGCATTACAGCCTCGTCAATTTGTGATGCATCTGTAACTACTTACATAGAATGAAAAATAGAATGAGGCAAAAGTAAACCTAACAATACTTATCCTCAGACTTTGGATCTATCAAAAATGAGCATGACAGTGGAATTTTCTGCACAATTCAGCTGGTGGTCAGAGCTTACACAACCCCTCAGTTGATACTAAGTGTATCCTGCAGATTAAGGTAGTCATATGGAGGTGCGAAACAAAGTCTTTTCCTCCTTACCACTTGGGAAAGGTGCATATGCAGGCATATCTGTAGGCATAAATATCTGTAGGCATAAATATCTGTAGGCATAAATACCTGTAGGCATAAATATCTGTAGGCATAAATATCTGTATATGTACAGCCCTGATTCAGCTTGCTACAAGCAGAACAAACTATCTATGCCACTCAACCCCCACCCACTTGACACGCCCTTCCCAGCTCATACCCGGCTTCAATAGTAATATGAATCGTACTTTATATATCGGAGGCCCTTCGTTCCACGCTTGCGAACACTTGTCTTTAGAGGCTTGCTTCTTTCGGCCTTTGGGACTAGCTGAGATCACAATCTTTACCGGATTAACACTGACAATTTGGTCTGTCCCTCCATTCTTCAGAATTAAGATCTTCCATATCATCCTGAATGCCAACATGAGACTTCAGATATGCAACATAGTTTTTGGCAATCCGGTAGTAGATGGAAGAGTGACCATGCATTCTTGTGGAACCTGTCAGTCTCCTGAATGTAGCGGCGGATTGTAATCCAATACTCTTTATCTCTTCTTACAGCAGGGTGATCCTCGGAGTATTCATTTACACCTTCAAGTCTGATAACCTCTTGAATATGCTAGGGAATGCGTTCAATCCAACAACTGAATCCTCCACTACGAGAGGCAGTGCCCGCCAGACTAAATCCTCCATTGCACAAGGTCATGCCATGCATTCGTCCATGCTTCCTCAGCCGCCTTGCAGATTTCCACTCCAAATACATAAATCATTCTATGCATAGGCCAGATATACAGTGCGTGGGGGAAAAAGTTATGGCGCGCCCGCCCCGCATATTATGCAGCACCAGTCGGCGGCTGATTGTGAGACATACAGCAGTGTTAAGACACCAGCTGCAGCGGCCATGCTGGCATCTGAGCGGGTTATTACTTGGAGCTCGAGATCATGAGCTTCCAATTGAGTTTGCACTGGTATATAAATCAGAACAACTCGTGACGATGTCGGCAGCTGCCAGTGGTAGATGCATAGATGCTTTTGGGATGCGACACTGGGATATCTTTATGCTATGATAGAAGGTCAAAATAATGCAGTGCTATGTGGAGATATTGGAAGAATTCCCACCACAAGTGAAAGTAGATATGGAGGCTGCCGGAATTTCCAATCCTATCTTCATACAAGATAACTCTCCTATCCATAATTCATATCGTGCCCTAATATGGTTACAAGAGGCAGGGTGGGAAGTGGCGGATCATCCAGCTTGGTCTCCAGACTTTAATCCTATTGAGCATGTCAGGCACTACCTAAAGAGGGTTTTGCACCCAAAAGTTTCCTAAGCTTGCTTCCTTTCCAGGTGAACCAGCGGCTGTTAAAACAGAATAGCTAAATGTTTGGCAGAAGCATGGAAGGAGATTCCTAGTAGCCTGCTAGACTCTCTTCCAAATCTATGCCTCTACGGGTTGCTGCAGCCATTAAAGCTGAGGGATAGACTAAGTATTAATAAGTTTCTTATTTTGTATATAGTGGTGATAATCTGGTTAGTATATACTATGACATCACTTGTAATCTGCATATTGGTTGCTGATCGCTGCATAACAAAGGGGTGTACCATAACCTTTCCCCACGCACTGAATATACGTGCATACCAATGCATATACACATACATATACTTGCATATGAACGTATATGCAATTCCCAATTAAGAAGGTGAAAAAAACTTTTTGTTCCACACCTCCGTACAGAAGCTTCCATATCCAATGAAAGTATAAATAGGAAGCCAAGTTCATGTTTCCCTAACCTAGTTGGGTTCTCCCAAAACATATTCCTGATAAAAGCAATTGTTAATCTAGAACTCATGATATAAGCTACTTCCAAGCAATTTATATAAGCCCACTCCCAATAGCTCGCATAAGCTAATTACCAAAAGCTCATATAAGCCTGCCATTTCTACTGACTATAGTTGCTAGTATTAAATTTTAATAGAAAAAATCAGAAAAATAACTTCTATTTTAAAAGGCAAAACGAGTTGCCCCAGTCCACTATATTCCGAGTGCCATCACACTACTTCTTAGGTCACCCTCGTTGTAGACTTGTGATTTGGTGGAGATATAGAACTGGAGCATTAAGGAATGGATACCCGACAACCCTGCTCCCTCATCCTTTCCAAGGATATTAAGACAATTAATTTTTTGCCTCCACTGGGATTCAAACTTTGGCCCTCAATAAGTAACCATGACCGTAAAGTAAAGTACTTACCACTGCGCCATGCCTACCGTCAGTTCATGCTAAATTCTGCAGAATTGGCTTATATTATGAAATTGCATGTACCCAAAAATGCTAGATTATGCAGTTGAACGATTTCGCAGCATTTTGTTGGCGCTAACGGCTCGATTGATGAATGGATCGCGCTAACATCACACACTCAACCCCAGCCTAGTTCAACGCCTAGACAAGTTTAGCCCTAGTCTGGTTGGCACAAACGAATGATTCACCTTCGGGCCTAGATTTGTCACCCTTTCGAGAATCGGTGAACTTTTACTATTATTGGTGGGGATACGACCGAGCAGGGGGAAGCGACCGACATGAATAACCCTGTTCGCCAAGGCCACCCCTCCTCCTTCTCCTCCAATATTACCAACTTTTGCGCAATTATAGTACCTAATAGCTATATTATCCGAATCGCTGAATTCAGGCCTATCTATTACAACATACTAGATACTCGTCGGCTTACAATATGGATGCAGATTCGGAGACAAGACTGCAGACAGCAATTGAATACTGCCGAAGGCACCCCTACCAGAATGCAGCTCGTATTGTAGCCAAATATGGGGTTAACCAAGTAACACTGCGCCATAGGGTTAAGGGTACGCAAGTCAATCGGAGGGTAGCGTATCAAGATCAGCAGCTGTTTAGTTCAGGAGAGGAGAGTGCAATAGTGGAGCTCTGTGAGTTGATGGCAGGTTGCAGATTTCCATTATTACAGGATTTACTCCATTGGTATTATGGATGGCCATTCATCATATATCAACTATCGAGTAGCACAATTTGCACTCAATCATGGTATCCACATGATTTGCTTACCTCCACATAGCACACATGTGGTACAGCCCCTCGATATTAGGTGTTTTGGTTTAGTGCAGAAGGCCTATCAGTGGCACCTCCGAATCTAGTTTGCAGTGAACCCAATAGCAGTAATAACAAAAGCAATATTTCATGGTCTATTAACCTTGACTAGAGAAGAGGTTTTTAGTATGGAAGTTATTTTGTCGGCTTGGAAGAAGTCTGGCTACTGGCTAATCGATCTGGATTATGCTCATAGTTTCAGTCAAACTCCTTTTAAGCCAACTTCCTCAAGCTATGTTGCCGATACTCCTGGCAGAATGAAGCAAATGGTTACTGAAATTAATGCTGAACTTACAGCTAGAGCTACGGTAGTGCTAAAAGAGAAATTTCAAGTATGCATTGACTTCATAATTCAAAAAGTTACGAAGTACCGGGATATTGAGAAGAGATCAGTTACACTCAAACAGCTTCAGAGTGGCAAAACAGTCAAAACAGCTACCAGCAGAGCTTATGTAGGCAAGGGAAGGGTGCTGACACAGAAGGAGGTCGATCAAGATATTGCAAAATTATTGAAGCGAAAAGGAGATGAGCAAGTAGCTGCTGTCCGGTAAGCTGAGAAGGTGGCTGCTAAAAAAGCATCGGATGAAGTAAAGGCCATCTGTGAGGCTGAATATCAGGTGGCATATGATGCTGCATTAGCTGGCGGACTTCCTAAGCCCAAACGGCCTCGAGTGCCGGTGAAGGCTAAGGCAGTAAAGGGTGGGGGAAGGGCTAGTAGGGGGGGAGTAGTAGAAGGGGTTTTAATAGAGAGGGTACTGGTAGGAGGGGTGCTAGTAGGAGGGGCGGTGGTGGCAGAAGTAGGGGGGAGAGCAGGTAGTGACTGAGATTAATATAGAAGCTGGTGATGGTTCTGAAGAGCTAGATGAGGTCGAGATTGAGGAGCAGAAGCGAGTTCTACAGATTTAGGAGTTTTTTGAGGTATGTAGATACCTACTGCTAGTTGGAAGCTAGAAGACGTGTGCTCGCTTGTATACTAATAGGAACATAGGGCCTTGAGTGATCTTTGGGTATCTATCCGCATAGGTAATGGGCTGCGTATGGTGGCAGGTGGTATATGTAAAAGGGGGGGGTATTTGGTGTTTTTTCTATTGGATTCACAGGTACTAGTGCATTGGTTTTTTTGCGGGCTTAGTTAATATACGCATGAGATAGAGCAAGTTCGATATACCTATACTATGAGTTTACGCTGTATATGTTTGTATTAAATTCATCATGAGGCCCGTTGAGAAGTGCCAAGTATGCAGGGGTTCATCTCGGTCGCTTCCCCCTGCTCGGTCGTATCCACACCAATAATAGTATCCGATTATCGAAAGGTAAGGCACTTTAATTCTCAAATGTGTTTACCATTAAGAATTCTTTAAGATGAGAGTCGGTCCGCAGCCAAGACTCGGCCAG